TTTAATTAGAAAACGGATGTCATAGTTGTGTTTGCGGTACCATCATACACCTACATGCCAAATTTGGAATGCATTGGAAAATATATGTAAAACATTCAAAATAGGAAAGGTGACATTGGCTAACCTTAGCGAACACCTTTAGAAATTTTAAATTCCCAAAAATTTCAAAAATTCATAGCGGCCATCTTGGACTTCCGGTCGAGATAAAAATAGCTTGTTGCACACCTAGACCCCCTAATGAGTATATGTGTGTAGTTTCATGATTATCCGCCCAGTAGTTTCTGAGAAGACCTCCGGACAAGTTCATGGCTGAAGAAGAAGAAGAAGAACACAGAAGAACTAGTACTAATTGTAACGGATGGCCGTTACAGAACTCCCCCAACGACCCCTGTTGAACTTAGGCAAAATCAGACAACAGCTAAATTGCGACCAATAAGAGGACTCCATTTTGTTACCATGGCAACTGAGCTGTTCGAAATTGATACCATTGTGTTTTGCATTTCTTAAAACCCCTATGCACCAATTCTGGACAGAATCAGACAATATTTAAATTTCGACCAACCAGAGGGCCAAATTTCGTTACCATGGCAACTGAGTTGTTCGAAACTGTTACCATTGTGTTTGGCATCGCTAAAAACCATTATGTACTTATTTTGGACAGAATCAGACAACTTCTTAACTTCGACCAATCAGAGGCTTTCATTTCATTATCATGGTAACTGAGCTTTTCGAAACTGTTACCATTGTGTTCGGCTTCACTCAAAACCCTTATGTACCGATTCCGGGCAGAATCAGACAACATCTATATTTCGACCAATCAGAACCCAGTATATGGTGGCCATTTTGTCAAATTAGAAAACAAATGTCGCAGTTGAGTTTGCAATGCCATATTACACATACATACTAAATTTGAACGAAATCGAAATACAACGGAGCTTCGACCAATCAGTAACCAGTATATGTTAGCCATTTTGTTTAATAAGAAAAAACGGATGTCATAGTTGAGTTCGCGGTACCATCATACACCTACATTTCAAATTTGGAATGCATTGGAAAATATCTATAAAACATGTAAAAATAGGATAGGTGGCATAGGCTATCTTTCGCGAACACCTTTAGAAATTTTAAATTCCCAAAACTTTCAAAAATTCATGACGGCCATCTTAGACTTCCGCTCGAGATAAAAATAGCCTGTTGCACACCTAGACCCCCTAATGAATATGTGTGTGTAGTTTCATGATGATCCGCCCAGTAGTTTCTGAGAAAACCTCCGGTCAAGTTCATGGCTGAAGTAGAAGAAGAAGAAGAAGAAGAAGAAGAACACAGAATAATAATATTAATAAGAAGAAGAAACGGAGTAAAAACAATAAGTCCCCAAAACTTTGTTTTGGGGGGCTTAATAATAAGAAACGGAGAAAAAAAATTAGGCCCCCAAACCTTTGTTTTGGGGGACTCAACTAGTACTAATTGTAACGGATGCCCGTTACAGAAGTCCCCCAACAACCCCTGTTGGACTTAAAATCTTTGGCAGAATCTGACAACATCTAAATTTTGACCAATCAGAGGGTTCATTTCGTTACCATGGCAACTGAGCTGTTCGAAACTGTTACCATTGTAATCGGAATCCCTCAAAACCCCTATGTATGAATTCTGGGCAGATTCAGACCACAGCTTAATTTCGACCAATCATAGGCCTCCATTTCGTTACCATGGCAACTAAACTTTTCGAAACTGTTACCATTGTGTTCGGCATCCCTCAAAACCCCTATGTACTGATTCCTGTCAGAATCAGACAACATCTATATTTCGACCAATCAGAACCCAGTATATGGTGGCCATTTTGTCAAATTAGAAAACAAATGTCGCAGTTGAGTTTGCAATGCCATATTACACATACATACTAAATTTGAACGAAATCGAACTAAAACTGAGCTTCGACCAATCAGTAACCAGTATATGTTAGCCATTTTGTTTAATTAGAAAACGGATGTCATAGTTGAGTTTGCGGTACCATCATACACCTACATTTCCAAATTTGGAATGCATTGGAAAATATCTATAAAACATGTAAAATAGGATAGGTGGCATAGGCTATCTTTGGCAATCACCTTTAGAAATTTTAAATTCCCAAAAATTTCAAAAATTCATGGCGGCCATCTTGGACTTCCGGTCGAAATCAAAATAGCCTGTTACACACCTAGACCCCCTAATGAGTATATAAGTGTAGTTAATGATGATCCTCCCAGTAGTTTCTGAGAAAACCTCCGGACAAGTTCATGGCGGAAGAAGAAGAAGAAGAAGAAGAACACAGAAGAACTAGTACTAATTGTAACGGATGGCCGTTACAGAAGTCCCCCACCGACCCCTGTCGGACTTAGGCAAAATCAGACAACAGATAAATTGCGACCAATAAGAGGACTCCAATTTGTTACCATGGCAACTGAGCTGTTCGAAACTGTTACCATTGTGTTTTGCATCCCTTTAAACCCCTATGCACCAATATTGGGCAGAATCAGACAACATTTAAATTTCCACCAATCAGAGGGCCAAATTTCGTTACCATGGCAACTGAGTTGTTCGAAACTGTTACCAATGTGTTTGGCATCGCTAAAAAACCTTATGTACTTTTTTTGGACAGAATCAGACAACTTCTTAGTTTCGACCAATCAGAGGCCACCATTTCGTTATCATGGTAACTGAGCTTTTCGAAACTGTTACCATTGTGTTCGGCATCACTCAAAACCTTTATGTACTGATTCCGGGGACAATCGGACAACATCTATATTTGGACCAATCAGAACCCAGTATATGGTGGCCATTTTGTCAAATTAGAAAACAAATGTCGCAGTTGAGTTTGCAATGCCATATTACACATACATACTAAATTTAAACTAAATCGAACTACAACGGAGCTTCGACTAATCAGAAACCAGTATATGGCATCCATTTTGTTTAATTAGAAACCGGATGTCATAGTTGTGTTTGCGGTACCATCATACACCTACATGCCAAATTTGGATTGCATTGGAAAATATATGTAAAACATGTAAAAATAGGATAGGTGACATTGGCTAACCTTAGCGAACACCTTAAGAAATTTTAAATTCCCAAAAATTTCAAAAATTCATGGCGGCCATCTCTGACTTCCAGTCGAGATGAAAATAGCTTGTTGCACACCTAGACCCCCTAATGAGTATATGTGTGTAGTTTCATGATTATCCGCCCAGTAGTTTCTGAGAAAACCTCCGGACAAGTTCATGGCTGAAGAAGAAGAAGAAGAAGAAGAGGAAGAAGAAGAAGAAGAAGAAGAAGAACACAGAAGAATAATAATAATAACTAGTACTAATTGTAACGGATGGCCGTTACAGAACCCCCCCAACGACCCCTGTTGGACTTAGGCAAAATCAGACAACAGCTACATTGCGACCAATAAGAGGACTCCAATTTCGTTACCATGGCAACTGAGTTGTTCGAAACTGTCACCAATGTGTTTGGCATCGCTAAAAACCCTTATGTACTTATTTTGGACAGAATCAGACAACTTCTTAATTTCGACCAATCAGAGGCCACCATTTCATTATCATGATAACTGAGCTTTTCGAAACTGTTACCATTGTGTTCGGCATCACTCAAAACCCTTATGAACCGATTCCGGGGACAATCAGACAACATCTATATTTGGACAAATCAGAACCCAGTATATGGTGGCCATTTTGTCAAATGAGAAAACAAATGTCGCAGTTGAGTTTGCAATGCCATATTACACCTACATGATAAATTTGAACGAACTCGAACTACAACGGAGCTTCGACCAATCAGTAACCAGTATATGGCAGCCATTTTGTCTAATTAGAGAACGGATGTCATAGTTGAGATCGCGATACCATCATACACCTACATGCCAAATTTGGAATGCATTGGAAAATATCTTTAAAACATGTAAAATAGGATAGGTGGCATAGGCTATCTTTGGCGAACACCTTTAGAAATTTGATATACCCAAAAATTTGAAAAATTCATGGCGGCCATATTGGACTTCCGTTCGATATAAAAATAGCCTGTTGCACACCAAGACCCCCTAATGAGTATATGTGTGTAGTTTCATGATGATCCGCCCAGTAGTTTCTGAGAAAACCTCCGGACAAGTTCATGGCTGAAGAAGAAGAAGAAGAAGAAAAAGAAGAAGAAGAAGAACACAGAAGAAGAAGAAGAACACAGAAGCCATATAGTTACAATAATGCCATTTAGTTACAATAATGCCATATAGTAACAATAATGCCTTTTTTGACATTTTTACTATTTGTCGACAGTGTTTTTGTTTCACATGTTCATAAACCTTATCATACTAAAATGATGCAAATTTACTTTTAGATTGTTACATGTGTACGTTAATTATATCAGTAAAACAATAATACTGGTGAAAATTGAACAAACATCAAACACTATCCAGTATGTTATTTTATTTCTATGTTATTTTATTCCATGTGGACCAGGAAGCATTGTATATTTCATTTCCATGTCGATATTTAATGGATAAAACCAAATTCCAAATGGCATTTTGTTTGTCCTGCAATAATATATATTTCACTTAAATGTGTTTTAATTCCGATTTCTCTATAATAATGATGTAATTTGTAAGTGTTTCATATTTTTTATTATATAAAATGATGTGAATCTTTTTGCAGGTGCAAAGTTGCGCATGGAATAGGATTTAAGACAAGGATTTTCTTTATTAATTTTCCTGTCTTTCAACCTCTTAACAAAAACATCGTCATGTCTATACAATGCGAATTATCTTCAATTATCGTACAAATAGAATTGTCAGGATCTATCTTAGCACTTTAAATAAAAATTGACTATCTCTCAATTACTTCAAAAAGGTTATATTACAATGTTTTAAATAATAAACAAGATTTGCAACATTGTTGACCAGGTAAAGTTTGAAATTGCATTCGGGATGTTATAAACAAGAGTGTTCACTGTCCGAAACATCTGTTATCTCACTTTATCTGTTCCAGCTTCAACCATGCACTTACAGGTTTCAGGAGGTTAGACTTGTCTTTCATTATCAGAGGTATCTGTAAAAGATAAAAACACAAATCCTTATTATCGATTTCCAAGTACTTTGTTGATCGTTCTGAAACCTATTGCATTTTCATTTTGATTGTATGAGACATTAGAAAAACGAACATTACATTATTAATGTATGCAAGATGAACATCGAATCACCATTTAGTTCATTAACAGTATCTACAGAACACTGCAAACCATTGACAAGGTCTTTTGGTTCGATGTTTCAGTAATTTTATTATATTTCTTCGATTATGATTACTAATACGTGTTCATATATACGTACTTCAGTTTTGCTTCCGACACACATTTTGAAGTTACGCACGATATGAGCTGTAGCCATTTTAGTCTCCATTAAAGCAAGTCGCATGCCGACACAGTTTCTGGGTCCATATCCAAAAGGTAGAAAATCCATTGGATCGTGCTTATCTCTCTCAGATGCCGAAAACCTGAATATCAAAGAAGAGCGGTATGTATTGTGTCTCATACCCCGATACAAATTAAAATACCACCAAAGCTTGTCACAAAACATAATTGAATACTGTGAAAATGTATAGAACATGGCCCGAAAATTGTGTGTGTGTGTGTTTCAGGGGAACATTTAAAGTCATAAGACGTGATTGTTTGGAAATACTCATCCCCTGACAAACTTAATGCAGAAGTGTAAGCGCTATGGAGCTGTTCAAATGTCTTAGTAGGATCATGTCGTAAATATGCAACTTCAAAACCTCCTCTTTTGAACAAGCTGCAACGCTAATGGTCAGATTTGCAGATATGTTCCCATTCCCAGGGGATCGTGAGTGTGAGGCCTGAACAAGTCATAAGTCACAATATTTTGTACACCCCAAGCATCATGACGGACAAGATAGTACTACTAACAGTCTCTTCCATTTATGATGCATGATTTGTCACAGGAAGATTACCCTAGTCTAATGTTACAGCATTTTAATTGATTTTAGCCTGTGTATGTACATGTATATACATATGCGTTGGTACTAATTAGCGTATTGAATAAAGTAATTCATTCATAATGTACATAAGTGTCTCTATCTATTGTTTGGGACATATTCACCTTTCTGGATTGAAAACAACGGGTTTTTCCCAAACCTCCGGATCATGCTGCATTGCAAGTATTGGTACAGTCACCGTCATCCCAGCTGGTATCGTAATGTCATTGACCTTTGTAGTTTTGACACACATTCTGTTTACTCTGTAATTACAATACTGACAAATTGATAAGATTGATCTATAAATGCACATGTTCCATTGATAATCATGTTCTAGAAATGACTTATAAACTCATTCAGGCTTGCATAAAACATAAAACATAATCGTTAAAGAAAGAATCGGAAAAAGTGTCAAGAAGACAGGAAAGTGAACCTAATACGTACATATATAAATTTTAGTAAAAGATAAAGTATCCCGGAAATGAATAACACTGCACCATACAGCTGTTTCTTCCTTCTAGGACTCATCGGTGCTAAACTGTTTATATAGAAGGGGAGGTAACTTGTTTCGTAAAATATTCTGAAATTTCAAAATTACACAATTATGTAACTATACTGAATTTTCCCATAAAACGGCTGTTCACCTACCTCATTGCTGGAGGGTACATTCGCAGTGTCTCGTTCATACACATGTCGAGATAATGAAGTTTTTTGACGTTTTCAAAGTCAATTACTTCCTGTAATAATTTAACAGAGTGTCTACTCATTATATCATTCTGTAAGATAAACTGAATATAACTGTTGAAATATGTCATGCCCTAAACTTTTCGTTCTGTTTATGAGGAACAAACCCACTGGTAATAGTGTTTTACGTGATAGTTAACATTTATAGGAAAACAAACATTGAATGGCATATTTGCATCTATGTGTATTAATCAATATATCGGTCACGCTTTTAATATCAGATTATGCAGCAATTTTGAAAAAAAATAAGCAAGCGTAAAGTAGTATAGTCATTATGTAGTTCACCATGTCACCTAGGACATGTTAAGAATAAAAAGATCTATTTGAATTAATGATGTTTGTTTTCAAAGCTGTGTCATTCAAATATATCGTACGTCAAATGTCCTACAAGAACAGTTCAATACTTATACTTACGTTTTCTCTGACTTTTATGTATCTTTTTAATTTATAAGTTATCTTAAATTTAAAATTCCCGCCTTATTGACAGTCCACACAAATATGTTCAATAGCTGGAACAGCGTGTTGTTGCATGCTGATTGGCAAACAAATAGTGCTTTAAAAAAATCAACTTGAATTTTATTCCACAATTTAGTATCAATACAAATGCGCATGATATGTCTTTAGGGTGATTTAATTTGTCAATTGAAATCTGAGATTTGAAATTGTTTTGATATTTAACCCGGAACAAATTTCGCGTAAAGATAAATACAGTCAACACCGTTATCCGACCTTGCCCGACCCGTATGGAAGGGGATCACCGCCATAATTATTTTTTATAGAATTAGTTACTTCTTGGTTTGAACCTAATTCTATGTTCATTTGTATTAATTCCTAGTTGATAAGTGGGTTTTTTTTCCATTCTATGTACATTTGTGTTGTTGCACTCGTTTACATATCTTTTTTTGTTTTTTGTTGTTGTTGTTGTAAATACTGGTTTTATATACGTCTCTGTGCTAGTCAAAGTAGTTTTAGTATTCTTTTTTTTTTCTTTTTTTTTCTTTTCACAAGTTTTATTGATATATAAAACAACAACAACATAAACGTCCACTCACTCACCAACATTGTGATGCCATTACCTCAATCATCATCATCATCATCATCATCATCTCACATACATTGTGATGTTATAACCTTCATCATCATCATCATCATCATCATCAACATCATCGACATCATCATCATCATCATCATCTTACATACATTGTGATGTTATTACCTCCATCATCCTCATCATCATCATCATCATCATCATTCATCATCAACAACATCAACATCATCATCATCATCATCATCATCATCATCATCATCATCATCATCACACATACATTGTGATATTATAACCTCCATCATCATCATTATCATCATTCATCATCATCATCATCATCATCATCATCATCATCATCTCACATACATTGTGACGTTATTACCTCCATCATCCTCCTCATCATCATTATTCATCATCAACATCATCATCATCATCATCATCATCATCATCATCTCACATACATTGTGATGTTATTACCTCCATCATCCTCCAGATCATCATTATTCATCATCAACATCATCAACATCATCATCATCATCATCATCATCATCATCATCATCATCATCATCATCACCATCATCTCACATACATTTTGATGTTATTACCTCCATCATCATCATTATCATCATTCATCATCAGCATCATCATCATCATCAACATCCATCATCATCATCATCATTCATTATCAACATCATCAACATCATCATCCTCCATTCATGTATGATGAAATGATTTCATATATTATAAGTTGCATCACAACATTAACACATACATAATCGCCCTTACTCACACCCACCCATACACACACTCTTACATACAAACACAAACAAGTAAGGAATCATAGAATCATAGAAATGCAAAAAAAAATGAAAAGCTACTAAAAACTGTAAACTAAAATTACATGAATCAGTTCAGAGAGAGAGAGAGAGAATAGAGAGAGCGAGAGAGAGAGAGAGAGAGAGAGAGAGGGTGGGGATGGACTATTATATTTTTGAGCTCAAGCTTATGAATGTATGGATAAGTGTAATAGAAGAAAATTATTGATTTTATAATTCATTTCCAAAGCCCAGGAGACAGCTATCAGAATATTATTTTTACAAAACAAGAAGTTTTTCCCATTTTTTCCATTCCTTTTCAAACTTCTCTCTATAAGTTTCTCCTTTGCTATTTGCTATAAATCTTTGTATATTATGGTAGTCTTTTATTGTGTTAACCAATGCATTTATATTTAAGGAGCTATGAAGACAACGCATTTTATATACATATTGTTTAATTATAATGAGTATCTCATTATCAATTCTACCATTAACATTTTGTGTAAGAAATCCAAATAAATAAGATTCTTTATTAAAATCAAAAGGAATAATGAGTGCATCCAAAAGAGTTTCAAAACTAATAAGAAGATTCTGAGTCTCTTGACATTCCCATAAAATATGGGTAATAGTTTCAATCTCAGAATTGCAAAGTGTACACATAGGAGATACAACTATTCGAGTTTTAAAAAGGAAAGAATTTGTTGTCAGAATATGGTGATTTATTCTATACTGAAACCACTGAAATTTTGTATTAGTAGTTATAGCAAAGGGAAGCTTAAAAATCTGATGCCAAGAAAAGTTACTAAAATCAAAGACTCTATTCCATTTCTTCTGTCCTGATGGAACAATGTTATTTTTTACCAGGATACTATAAAAATGTTTGGAACCTTTAGACTTTTTAAAGAATGGTTCTAAGTGTGTAGGAATAAAAGGACATAACAGTCTTAATTTAGGAAAATCTGGATTAGAGTTGAAATGTTTTACTGCAGAAAGAACACTGTGATATTGGAGAAAATTAGTCTGTATTTGATAAGTTTGAGTGAATTCTTGAACTGTATAAAAGGAACCAGAATTATAGTCTTTAATCAGGTCATTTATATTAATAACTCCTTTTTTATACCAATCCTTAATGAAAATTGACCTTCTATCAATAATAATTTTGTCATTATACCATAAGGGGGTCTTCAAGTATACCTCATTTTTGTTAATATTAATTTCATTTGCATGATACAAGTTTTTACAAGCTTTCAAAACATCAGTCCAGAACTTGTTTTTACATTTTTTTTCACATAGCTTTATATAATCTGAACCACAATTTGCCAACATGTCTATATTAACATATGTTTTTAAAATTGCTTGCCATTTAGATGTACATTGAAATATTCTTCTAATCCAACCTAATTTGAGTGAGTCTATAAAAGTTTTGATGTTGATCATGTTTAACCCACCATTAATGAAGTCTTGAATAACAACTTCTCTCTTTACTTTATCCACTTTACTGTTCCACAAGAACTCATAAATTATAGAATTCAGTTTACAAAGAAACTTTTCCTCTGGATTTGGCAGCGAGATAAATAAATGATTAAATTGTGAAACCAAAATTGATTTTATTATGTTTATTTTACCAATTGGTGTTAATATTCTCCTTTTCCATGATCTGATAAGTGATTTAAGTTTTGTTATTTTTTTATCAAAGTTCAGTTTAGGTATCTCATGTAAATTAACGTGAAATTCAATGCCAAGAAGTGTGAAGTTTTCCCTACCCCATTGTAAGTCGAGTTCTGGAAGGAATTTATCTGAGCTAAATTTTTTATTGCCAATCCAGACCACTTGAGTTTTTGAAATATTCATTTTCAATCCTGATATACTTGCATAGAAATTAAGTTCAGTAATAGCTTCCTGCAGTGATCTTTCTGTACCATCAAGTGCAAGTGCAGTGTCATCCGCATATTGTGATAGAAGTATAGGACAGTTATCAACATTAATACCCTTAATTTTATTATTGTTTCTTAGTTTTATAGCTAAAATTTCAGCACTCGTTTACATATCTATTGCGTGTTCATTCCATGCTATTCCAGTTTTACCGATCGCGATTTCGACATCATTTACGATGGAGCGCCGCTTGTCGTCTTAATGAGGAACTAAAATTCTAGAATTGATTCTAGAATTTATTCTAGAATTTTAGTTCTCATTAAGACAACAGCCGGCGCTTAAATCGCCAACGAAATTCGCGGAAAATAATGCTCGCTCCCTTAAACCGGAAACATACCCGATTGTGGCAGTAGATTTGGAAAATGCAGTCGACAGTGCGGTAAGTCTTGGTTATGACATCAATTGAACTGTAATCTATGTAGCTTTGAGCCAAAATTGTTTGTAGCGTAGCAGAAAATCGTCATATTTATAGTTAGGATGTCGTAGCCATAACGAAATCCCACATAAGTATTTGGTAACTGGCAAAATGTCAACCCTGCACATAGGGGCTCGTTACAAATGCATGTCTGAAATACAGAACTGATATTGGTGCTGTCATAGCCTGACAAAGGGAAAAGTCGGTCTTGGAAGGTTGCGACACTTTAAATACGTTGTGTAGAAAGTAAAACTTTGATATCAAATATCCAATCACTAAACGTCACAATTGACGGAGGCCCCGTAACATAAAGATGAAGAAGAAATGTTTGAAATTCTGACTGTAAATTGAGATAAAAATCATATAAAAAATAAGGGTATTAGTACAAAAAAGTAGCAATACCCTTGTATATATGATTTTTATCTCAATATTTACAATAATGATTTCAAATACCTGGGAACCATATAACGTTATACATTGTTTTCCTTTGTGTGCTTCATAATTAGTTTTGATAAATTTGAGAATTGGATGCAAATTTCATATTCAGAACAGCATACAGTGATCAGCTAATTAAAACTAACAGCCTGAAACAGAGCTTTACACGTCCTAAAATTAGCAAAAGAAATCAAGATTTATTTTTTCCCCTGTTATTAGATCGTGATGACCTCAGATTATGCCTCATTCGAGGAAAATTTGCATAACCCTGGCCTAACCATATGCATTTGTTGCAGATGTCATATAAAAACTTGTCTCATATAGGAGATGATAAATCTATAGCTATAGTTC